TGCATACATAAACATCCATGCGGTCCACCTGTTTGAATTTTAGATTAATCATGCTAAGAAGTTTCATTTCTTATTTTCCTTGTTAAAACTAAATGCATAATTGGTGTCAACACATAAAGACTTTTAAATCTCGTATATGAAGTTTATAAGTAAGAATAATTTTAATTTCTTGTTCAAAATAGTTATATGTGTATTATTAATATTATTTTTTATATATATAGTAATTTTAGGCATTTTCAAATCAATCTTATAATGGACATATCTAAACGTCGAGCATGGATGTATAATAGGCTTCTTCTTGGTCGGGAGGCATATACAAATGAATTTTTAAGTGGCCTCGATGTGTTTATGACTTTTGTTTGTCAACAACCAAGCTTTTTGATTGAAGGAAAAATAAGGTGTCCATGTAAGGAATGTAAAAATGAGAGGTTTTTAATTCCATATGAAGTAAATGTTCACATTCTCCGAAAAGGATTTACATTTGAGTATTGGTATTAGACATCTCATGGAGAGAAAATTCCTCATACTAATGTTAATGTTGATATGCATTCAATGTCAAGTAGTAGTCACCCATGGGGTTCTAATAATGTTAATAGACATGAAGATATGATGTTTGATGCTATTGGTCTTAATCATGAGCAACATTTTATACCAAATGAAGTGGAACCTCCAAATATGGAAGCTGCCAAATTTTACAAAATGTTAAATTCGGCTCAACAACCATTATGGCCGGGATGTAAAAATACATCAGAGTTTTCTGGTGCTATTACGATGTTGAGTATAAAATCTAAACACAATATGTCGCAAGCTTGTTTTAATGACGTCATGAAATTTATGAAAGAGTCAAACCACCCAGAGAATGTTATTCCTTCCAATTTTAGGGAAACAAAGAAACTTGTAGCAGGACTTGGTTTATCGAGGATAAAAATAGATTGTTGCATTGATGGATGTATGTTGTATTACAAAAGTGACAATACTTTGAAGGAATGTAAATTTTGTAGAAATCCTTGATATAAAGCACCCAATGAATGCAAGAAAAATCCTAAAGATGTTCCCCATAAGAGATTGCATTACTTGCCACTCATTCCTAGATTACAAAGGTTATATGCTTCAACGAGATCTGCAGAGCACATGAGGTGGTACTATGAAAATCGTAGGGAAGGTGTGTTGTGTCATCCTTCAGACGGGGAAACTCGGAAGGAATTTGATAAATTATATCCTGAATTTGCCTCAAAACCTCGAAATGTGAGACTTGGCTTGTGTGCCGATGGGTTCACTCCTTTTAGCCAATCAACAATACCATATTCTTGTTGGCCAGTAATTATCACACCATATAATCTCCCTCCAAAATTATGTATGATGACTCCTTATATGTTCTTGACTTTGATCATTCCAGGTCCACATAATCCAAAAGCTAAAATTGATGTGTATTTACAACCATTGGTAGATGAATTGCAACAATTGTGGAATAATGGTGTAGTAACATATGATGCCTCAAAAAAGCAAAATTTTCTATTGAGAGCTGCATTATTGTGGACAATAAATGATTTTCCTGCATATGGGATGTTGTCTGGGTGGAGTACTGTTGGAAAATTTGCTTGTCCAATATGTATGAAAAAAATCAAAAGCTTTTTCACTAAAAAATGGAAGAAAAATGACTTGGTTTGATTGTTATCGTCAATTTTTACCTCAGAATCATGTTTTTAGAAGAAATAAGGATGCTTTTTACAAAAATAGAATTGAGAAAGATGAGTCTCCTCCTAGATTAAGTGGTGAACAAGTATGGGATATGGTCTCTAACATTCCTAAGTCAACTGAAGTGAAGATATGCAATGTACCTGGTCATGGACATTCCCATAATTGGACAAAGAGAAGCATATTTTGGGATTTACCATATTGGAAACACAATTTATTAAGACACAATTTAGATGTTATGCACATAGAAAAAAATGTCTTTGAAAATTTGTTTCATACTGTTATGGATACCAAAGAGAAAACTAAAGACAATAAGAAGGCGCGATTGGACTTGGCATTGTATTGTAATAGAAAAGAGCTATTATTAAAAACAAATCAAATGGGAAATGTATAAAGCCTAGAGCCAACTTCTGTTTATCAAACAAACAAAAGAATGATGTGTGTGAATGGGTGAAGGATTTAAAGATGCCTGATGGATATGCTTCCAACATTTCTAGATGTGTAGATACAAAATGCACAAGATTATATGGGATGAAAAGTCACGATTGTCATATTTTTATGGAATGCCTTCTCCCAATAGCTTTGAGAACTCTTCCTGAACCCATATGGAAGCCCATAACTGAGCTTAGCCAATTCTTCAGAGATTTATGTTCAAGTGTGTTACATGAAGATCATTTATTGCAAATGGAACAAAATATTCCTATAATATTGTGTAAGTTAGAACGTATATTTCCACCTGCATTCTTTGACTCTATGGAACATCTACCAATTCATTTGCCTTTTGAAGCTAGGATGGGTGGACCCGTTCAATACCGTTGGATGTACCCTTTTGAAATGTAACATTCTTTTATACCCAATATCATTGTACAATTCACCAAATAATTGATTACACTTTTTGTACATAGGTTTCTAAATAAAATTAAAAAAATTGTGAAGAACAAGAGAAGTGTGGAAGGGTCCATTTGTGAAGCATATTTACTACAAGAGACATCTTATTTCAGTTCTCATTATTTTGCACCTCAAACTTGTGTGAATGAGGGAGTTCATGAAGACAATACAGAGCTAACATTATCCATCTTTAAGCCATTTGGACAAACGGCGGGTAAATATAAAGAAAGGTGGCTTAATGATAGAGAAAGATTGGCTTCCCAATTGCATGTTCTTTTGAAATGTAATGAGGTTAAACCGTTCATTGAGTAAGTGTCAAATATTATATAATTATCAATTTTAATTAATTTAACAATAGTCATATAATTTAATTATCCTTTTTTGTAGTTTATATGTACAAACTTTGAAAGATACCTATGGGAATCTCAATGATGATATCATTGATAAACAAATAGAAGCTGATTTTCCACGATGGTTTGAAGAATATGTAAGCTTTGCTTTGATTAAACAAATTAATTTGATAACATATTTTATTAAGTTATCTAATTACAACTTTTATTTGAATAGGTAAAATAGAATCACCAACTTAGGTTACAAAATTCAAACTTCTATGACTTAGCAAAGGGACCTTTGAGGATAGCAAAGTTGTGGCCAATTTATTCTGTGAATGGGTACAAATTTCACACAACATCATGGGGTAAAGGTAAAACGACATATAATAGTGGAGTATGTGTTAGTGGAATTGGACAAGGTGAAACATCAAGTGATTATTATGGTGTTCTTGTAGAGATATTAGAATTGGAATGGTCAAGTCAATCACAAAAAAAGTTAGTTTTATTTTATTGTGATTGGTTTGATCCTTCAAACCATGGGACGAGAACACATAAGCAATATAAGATTGTAGAGGTAAGAAAAATAAGAAATTATGAAAAATTTGATGCTTTTATTTTTCCAAAAGTTGTAACTCAAGTTTACTACTCATCTTTTCCTGGGCGACAAAAGGATAAGGTTGATTGGCTAGTAGTTATCAAAACAAAACCAAGGGGAGTTGTTGATGATAGACATACTTTAGAAGTTGCATATCAAATGAATGAGTCACAAGTTAATACAATAATTGAGGATGACCCAATTGACCACCTACAAGAAGATGCTATTGTTGGTGAAGAGGTTGATTTTGATATAACATTCATTGAAAATGAAGATGAAGATTTCATGCAATATGTATAAGAAGAAGAGGAGGATGAGGAGGATGAGGAGGAGGAAGAAGAATAAGAAGAAGAGGAAGAAGAAGAGGAAGAGGAGGAAGAGGAAGAGGAGGAAGAGGAAGAAGAAGAGGAAGAAGAGGAAGAAGAAGAAGAAGAGGAAGAAGAAGAGGAGGAAGAGGAAGAGGAGGAAGAAGAAGAAGAAGAAGAAGAAGAAGAAGAAGAAGAAGAAGAAGAAGAAGAAGAAGAAGAAGAAGAAGAAGAAGAAGAAGAAGAAGAAGAAGAAGAAGAAGAAGAAGAGAAGAAGAAGAAGAAGAAGAAGAAGAAGAAGAAGAAGAAGAGGAAGAGGAGGAGGAAGAAGAGGAAGAAGAAGAGGAAGAAGAGGAAGAGGAAGAGGAAGAAGAAGAAGAAGAGGAAGAAGAAGAAGAAGAAGAAGAAGAGGAAGAAGAAGAGGAAGAAGAAGAAGAAGAAGAAGAAGAAGAAGAGGAAGAGGAAGAAGAGGAAGAGGAAGAAGAGGAAGAAGAGGAAGAAGAGGAAGAAGAGGAGGAAGAGGAAGAAGAGGAAGAAGAAGAAGAAGAGGAAGAAGAAGAGGAAGACGAAGAAGAAGACGAAGAGGAAGACGAAGAAGACGAAGAAGAAGAGGAAGAGGAAGACGAAGAGGAAGACGAAGAAGAGGACGAAGAGGAAGACGAAGAAGAAGACGAAGAAGAGGACGAAGAAGAGGACGAAGAAGAAGACGAAGAAGAAGATGAAGAGGACGAAGAGGATGATGAAGATGAAGATGAAGATGATGATGAAGATGAAGATGAAGATGATGAAGAACATGAAGAATGATGATGATGATGATGATGATGATGATGATGAAGATGAAGATGAAGATGAAGATGAAGATGATGATGAAGATGAAGATGATGAAGATGAAGATGAAGAAGAAGAAGATGATGATGAAAGTTAAGATTTAATGGATGAAGAGGAAGATGAAAATTAACATTAAGAGTACATGATAATGTTATCTTATTATTACATTCTAGTATTGTTGACAATATTATTTACCTTTTGAGATTATAAATGTGATATGCTTTTCTTTATGTGTCATAAAATATATTTTCTGATTTTTTATTATGATACTTAAAAATTATATGTTTGATTCTAAAAGAGCATTGCAACCCACTAAAAGGATGACAGGAAAAAAAAATGCACAAACTCATATACCATTTATACTACCATCAACCAATCTTGAAACTTATTCCAAGCAAATAACTCGGCCTCTATCTTCATTTTGATCATCATTTCGACCTCCATTTCCAAATTTATCTCGACCTCCACCTTCATCTCAACCTCCACCTCCACCTCCTCCTTCATGTCAACCTCGACCTTGTCCACCTTTATTTCGACCTCCACCTTCACATCTATCTCAACCTCCACCTCCTCCTTCAACTCAGCCTCAACCTTGTCCACCTCTATTTCGACCTTCACCTTCACATCTATCTCAACCTCCATCTCCATCTCCTCCTTCATCTCAGCCTCCACCTTGTCCACCTTTATTTCGACCTTCACCTTCACATCTATCTCATCCTCCACCTCCTCCTTCATCTCAGCCTCCACATCTACCTATATATCAATCTCCTCCTCCACCTCCACATCCACATAGGCCCTCCCAATATCAACCCATCCCTACTCAACAGGTTTTTCAAATGCATGATTTTCAAGTGGCAAATGAAGCTCCATCTTCTTCGTCTAGCCATGTTAGTGGAGACAATAATAGGAAGAAAATCTTAATACTTCCAAAATGCGATGAGTAAGTAACTTTTTTAGTGAATTATTTTAACTTTCTTAACATAATATAATTTTTATTGTCTTATATAGGTTTGATTAACACAAGTTGGTAGTGAGGACGATTGCTTCAATCATTCGCTCTAACTTGGAATAGGCAAAGCCATCATGGAAGAAGTTATCCATGGATCAAAGGGAATCTTGGTTTGATATATTCAAAGTAATTAATTTTTAAATTTTGATTAAAAGATTTTATTTATTTTTGGAAAATGTCTCTAGTATAATCATTATCTTTTTCATTTTTCTCAAAAATAATATAGTCAAAATTTTCTTGGCCACCTCAATATAATGACATGGTGCGACGTAACTTTGAGAGAAGAGGTGCATCTACAATGTCTCAATTAATGCAAGATGCTAGAAAAGATCTAGAGAAAAAACACATTTGGATGGGAGAGAATATGTGGGGACAATTAAAGACACATTGACAATCTACAAGTTTTAAAAAGAAGTCTGAAACAAATAAAAGAAATCGCGTAGCTTTGGATGGTGCATCTCTTCATACAGGTGGATCAATACCTCATCACTTACATTGGAAGAGAATGGTATTATTACTTTACTTTGTTTTTTATAATTTACATTTTAGAATTAATAACATTAAACTTTCTTTGTTATCGAAAGAGGAAAAAGGAATAGACCCATCATTGATCGAGTTTTATTTTCATACACATCGGAGAAAGAAGGATCAAAGTTGGGTTGGTCCTCATGCCAAAATTGCTTTTGTAAGTTTTCAATTTGATAAGCACATTGGTAGTGATAAGCACGTAGTCAAATATGAAAGTAGTTATCTATTAATTAGCTTGGCATTTGAGTTAAAGAAATCAATATTATACATGTACATTTCTTTAATTGATTGAAGAATTTGGAAGGGACCGAGCTTTATGGCTAGAGATAATAAAAGTTATGTAAAACTGCTATTTCATTTCTTTATTTTGAAAGAATGATACAATATTTTAAAAAATTGAACATTTTTCACTCACTTTTGTTATTTATATATTTTCATTAAGTATCTTTTCATTTGCAGGAGAAAGTTGAACAAAAGAAAAATGAGTTATTAGCTCATAGTTTTGGGGAAGATGCAATTGATGGTGAACAATCCATGAGCCAAATGCCATCAGATTTGGATATATGGATTGATTCAGTTGGAAAAAAATAAGGGAAGAATATTTGGTCTTGGATCTCTAGGCAAAATGTTAATCATATCTTCAACTAAGAAGTCAAATTTTGAAAATGTTGATGCTTTAAGGAGTCAAATTCAAGCCTTAAATGAATCATTACATAGGCAAGAACAAGAAAAACAAGAAATGAGACAAGAGTTACAAAGACAAAAGAAAGATAAGCAAAAAATGAAAAAAGAGTTGACTAAAACTAAGAATCAAGTAGCAGCCTTAATGCAACACTTAGGGTTTGTTGCATCTTCTTCTTTACCATCTTCATCATCTCAACATAGCAATGAAAATGATGATGATGAAGACAGTGATCATATTGAAGATGGTAATATTTAAAATTTTATTCTTGAATTATTATAACACTTAACTGAATTATTGAAGGTGATAATGAAATTGCAGGGAATTAAAGATATGATGTGATTTTGACAACAACAATTATTTTCTTTGATGCATTTTTTTACAAGGTTTTAAAGTTTTGAATTATTTATATTGTTTTGACACTTTAATATTTGAGTTTAGTCATTCACACTTTTTCATTTGAATTTCAAGATTAAAGATTTGATATGATTCTGACAATGACAAAAATTTGCATTGCAATTGTTGGTCTTTTGTTATTCAGATTACCTAAGAAAAATCATCGTGCAGGGAAGATCTTTCAAGTCTAACAAGGTTGGAGATACTCTACCAAAATTTGTGCAAGTAAAAATATATTTGTAAGTAATTATAAATTTAGATTCTTAGTTAATTTTGAACTCTTGTTATTGTTTGCTATGAATGAAATATAAAGCACAATCTTAAAATGAATAGTAGTAATAGTACATTAATTTTACATAATAATATTGTTTGCAGGGAATTTGGTGAACTTTTCCAGCCAAGTGTTGCATCATTTTTGTTTTGTAACTTTTCCTCTATGCTTGCTATTCTCAAATTAATACGAGACCAAATTGTTTGCTCAACAATGGAGAACGTAGTTATTTTATATACCTAAGAACTCAACAATGCAAGGGAACAATGTTCTCTGTATAAATGAATCTCATGTTTCAAGACAATCTCATGTTTCCAAACATTGATAATTTCATTTCATGCATTTGTGACAATTACATTCATATAATAGTATTTTACTTTGTTTATGTTTTGTCTTATCATTCATAGGGATCATGTTGACGTAAGACTAAATAATTCTCTTAAAAAATATTTCACGTTAAATTTGTTTTTAGCTTAGTTTTTTAGTTGAGTAAATAAATATTTTTTCTTTTATAATCATTTAATTACGTAATAAAATAAAATATATAATAAATAGTTTTTTTTAATTTCATATATATATATATATAATTTAAAATTTATACAAATTTTTTTTAGATGTTTTTAAAAAAATAACCTCATAAAAAATTACCTGCGAATTTAAAATTAGCAAGAAATTTCCTGCAAATATAAAATTACCAAGAAATTATTTGTAAATTTAAAATTACTTGCGAATTTGAAATTAGTAAAAATTTACATGCAGATTTAAATGGCAAGAATTACATACAGATTTAAATTGCAAGAAATTATATGCAAATTTAAATTTGCAAAAAATTACTTACGAATTTTTTCACAACAAATTTTGTAGGAAATTTTTGTGAATAGTTTTCGCTTCGCTAGTGCGTGGCACTCCTTATCGGCGGAGCGACATATCGAAAAAAAAAAGGAAAAGGAAATTCTTTGATATTAAATCCCTGGATAATTTATTATCCACAAGCTAATTACGTGCTAATAAAAATTTGTATGAAAATTTGCAAGAAACTTATTTTCTATGAATTTTTACAAAAAATTGGCAAAAAAAATCCCATAAAAATTAAAAATCTCTAATAGTGTTGAGGGATCGAAACATAACAATAATATTATTTTGAAGATTAAAATTTATTAATAATTAAACTTGAATTTAAATATAATATTTCTATCCGAGAAGTTGATATAATAAAATAGTCTAACATTGGTAATAATTTATAATTAAAATGTGACTTAAAATCTGAATAAAAATAAGAAAGTTGAGTAATTTATAAGTAAGAAAGACTCAATCTAATATCTTAAGATTTTTTGTTGAAGGGATATCATATTCTCTTATATGGTTGATTTGTGTCCCATATGTGAGAATTTCATTTTGTTTGTCCCCTCGAAATACCTAACCGTGATATTAAAACTAATGTGAAGAATTCACATTTGAGGGGAAATTGTTGAGAAAGTTGAGCAACATACAAGAAACAAAAACTCACATCGCTTAAGGTAACTCAATGACTTAAAGTTTTGAGTAGAGAAATTCATACTTGAGAAAGAGATTGTTGAAAAAGTTGAACAATATATAAGGAAGAAAGATTCATAACTCAATACCTTAAGAGTTTTGGTTGAAAGTGATGTCAATCCCTTACGTGAGTTGAACTCATATCTCATTGGTGTTGGAGAAGAAGGGAGGAATTCATACTTGAGGTAACTCAATGCCTTAAGGTTTTCGGTGGAGGAATTCACACTTGAGGAGGAAATTATTGAGAAAGTTGAACAACATATAAGAAAGAAAGACTCATAACTCAATATCTTAAGGTTTTGTGTTGAGAATAGTGTTAATCATTTATGTGAATTAAGTTCATATCTTATTAGTATTGAGAAACAAAGAATCATAACTCAATGCCTTAAGGTATTTTGTTGAAAATAATATCAATCTCTTATGTGAGTTGAACTTATATTCCATTGGCGTTGTGTTCTTCATAGTGAATTTCTCTTAAAAGACCCATCAGAATTATATATACACAAAAAATATAAATATTTTTTTCTTAAATACATTTTTCCCTAAAATTTGTTTATTGTGGTATATACATATAAGAAAGAAAGACTCATAACTCAATATCTTAAGGTTTTTGGTTGAAAATAGTGTTAATCATTTATGTGAATTGAGTTCATATCTTATTAGTATTGAGAAACAAAGAATCATAATTCAATGCCTTAAGGTTTTTAGTTGAAAATAATATCAATCTCTTATGTAAGTTGAACTTATATTTCATTGGTGTTGTGTTCTTCGTAGTGAATTTCTCTTAAAAGACCCATCATAATTATATATACACTAAAAATATAAATAATTTTTTTCTTAAATACATTTTTCCCTAAAATTTGTTTAGTGTGGTATATTTTTTGTTTACATAGTCTCTACCATTAGGTTTCATTATTTTATGTTCACCACTAAAAAACATCAATACTGATTTTCTTACAAAAATATATTTTTAAAAATATTTATCAATTTTTATGTAAATAAGAAATCGCTGTTAATTATTTTTTTATCAAAATATTGATAGAGAATTTTTACCCATTTTTATGCAAAAAAAAAACAATTATAATTATTTTTTAATAACTTTTACAAATTAAAATATTGTAAATAAATTTGCAGAAGTTTTAAAACTTTCTTATGGATTTTTTCATAAAAAGATATCCGCAAGTAAATTTTAATAATATTCTAATATGATTGGCAGGAAATCTAAAATTTATTTTTTTAATATTTCTTTCAGAAAAATAAAAATAAAATAAATTTTTTATTAAATTTATTATAAATATTATAAATTTATTATAAAT